TTTCTTTTTAAGAGTGTAGACAGACGTCGCCGTGAGCGGAGCGGAGATCAGTGTTCGTTTATCTACTAATGTTCCACATATGTAGCAGATCTGAATATATTCTAGAAGCACTGTTTTAAAAAATACAACTCAAGTCGTCTGGTGTGTGTTCCAGAGGTGTTCAGCTGTTTAACGTGTTTATTTAGGCACACGGATGTGCAGAGGCTGGTTAACCCTCCTTAACTCACCCATTAAAGTCTATTGCGTTTGGTTTAATGTCATCAGCGCTGCTCAGACTGAATTGTGTGTTAGATACTGAACACCACTAGACTGTACATAATAATGATAATAATGCAGTGTGATTTTTATATTGTCAATAAAGGCATTTTATTAAAATCTTTTGCAGTGTGAAAACTTCAGGGGATGTTTATTTCATTTATAATTCGGTAACACTTTACAATAAGGTCCAATTAGTTAATGCATGAACTAAAATTAACTAACAATGACGGCTACTTTTGTTGATTTGTTGTTCATTTAGCTAAGTAATGTTAATTTAAACATCTACTAATTATTAGATTCAAAAGTTGTTTCTGTTAATATTATTAGCTAAGATTATTAAATGCTTTAGAAGCGTTTTCTTTGTTAGTTCATGTTAATGTTACTGTAAAGTGTTACCTATAATTCATTTGAACAATTCTCTGTGAAATACCCAATATAAACAGAATCTGGATCTGATAACTGAAACCAAATCAACTAATATGAGTTCATTCAAATTAAAGCAACACAACATGACATTTAGAGCTTCATGTTCACAAAAGCACTTTCACAAATAACATTGATCAATATTTTTGAACAAAACTTATACTCCGTGTGCTTGAACTTACGGTTCACTTCAATTGTTCTGCGGAGTGACAAATGAAGTTATAAAAAGTACAAATATTCCATGTAGTCTCACAAAAATAATCACAGAATTTGCAAAATACTGTAAAATAGACTACATGTCCACTACCCAGAGACAGCTGTGCAGTAATTGTATATACATGAATATTTATTAGAATGCATAGTGTCCAATAATAAGTATACACTAAAATTAGTAACGCATGTTTTGGGCATATTCTTGATACATTGCCCAGAATCGTTTGATCATTAAACTACTAAACATCACTACAGAGGTATTTCTGTTCAAACGGCGTTTCCGCGTCCGAACGGCCAATAACAGCAAATCCACATGAGATGGACATCTTTACAGTGTATGCGAAAGTTTGTGAACCCCTTGCAGAATCTGTGAAAATGTGAATAATTTTAACAAAATAAGAGAGGATCATACAAAATGCATGTTATTTTTTTTTTATTTAGTACTGTACTGAGTAAGATATTTCACATAAAAGATGTTTACATATACTCCACAAGATAAAAAAAACAGCTGGAATTAATTATTAAAATAACCCCCTTCAAAAGTTTGTGAACCCTTGGTTCTTAATACTGTGTGGATGATCCACGACTGTTTTTAGTTTAGTGATAGTTGTTCACGAGTCCCTTGTTTGTTCTGAACAGTTCAACTACCTGCTGTTCTTCAGAAAAATCCCCCAGCTCCTGCACAATCTTTGGTTTTCCAGCATCTTCTGCATATTTGAACCCTTTCCAGCAGTGACTGTATGATTTTGAGATGCATCTTTTCACACTGAGGACAACTGAGGGACTCAAACACAACTATTAAAAAGGTTCAAACACTCACTGATGCTCCAGAAGGAAACACGATGCATTAAGAGCCGGGGCGTGAAAACTTTTTGAATTTGAAGATCAAGGTAAATTGTACTTAATTTGCCTTGTCAGGAAACATACAAGTATCTTCTGTTGCTTCCGAAGGGCAGAACTAAATGGGAAAAGAAAAAGATATTTCAACAAATTAAGAAAAATTGGGACATCTTCATCCTGTTCAAAAGTTTTCACGCCCCTGCTCTTAATGCATGGTTTCTCCTTCTGGAGCATCAGTGAGTGTTTGAACCTTTTTAATAGTTGTGTTCGAGTCCCTCAGTTGTCCTCAGTGTAAAAAAGATGCATCTCAAAATCATACAGTCACTGCTGGAAAGGGTTCGAATATGCAGAAGATGCTGGAAAACCAAAGATTGTGCAGGAGCTGGGGGATTTTTCTTTTCTTTACAAACTTTTGAATGGGTTTATTTGAATAATTTCAGCTATTTTTTGTCTTGTGGACTATATGCAAACATCTTTTATCCAAAATATCTTACTCAGTACAGTACTAAATAAAAAATAACATGCATTTTGTATGATCCTCTCTTATTTTGTTAAAATTATTCACATTTTCACAGATGCTGCAAGGGGTTCCCAAACTTTCGCATGCCACTGTACATGAATGTCATTTGAGCACACCAGAAATCATCTGCTACAGAGCTACATGGAGGCACTCATGAGTCGAGATCGAGACTCTCAACTTCTGAACCCGCAGGAATCATGGGTTTCCTTCAGGACTGAGAGCATTACTAACATTCATACGCACGTCTGATTCCATCTGCCTCAATCCGTGTTATTTCATACTTAACATCTTTGCACAGAGTCTGAAAATTTCGCACGTTAAAAAATAAATACGACGATCACGTTTACACACTGCCTCCGAACTTTCGTCCGTCATAAAAAAAATTGGGATCGGGTTCGATATTCTGCATTTTTCGCATCTGTAGCAAGCATTTTGACTCGGTGTGCAAGGGTTCTGTCAGAGAGTAAATTTATTTCATTACTGTACTTAAGTACACTTTTTGAGTATCTGTACTTAAGTATTATTTTTTCTGGAAACTTATGACCTTAACTTCACTTACTTCACATACTTTTCACTCCACGACATTTCTACCAATGTCCTCAAAGTAGAAAGTCGTTACTGTAGCAGCTTTGAAAGCCAGTGGGTGATTTTTTTTCTTCTGTAAAACGTGTCTATCAGTAATCACTATTGTAGGGCTACGTAAAGTAAATTTCCCAGCATTTTTGTGAACACTGACCAGTTGCAAACGTGATATTTATTTATATCAATTCAATAATAAGTAGTTAAAATTGTGGTACATATTAGACACAATATTGTCTTATTTTGCTAAATTATGTCAATGAAATTTTGTGCGTCTCCTAACAAAATAATATATATGTATTCAGTAAGCATAATGTATTTTAAGTTGCTTCAGAGGCATAAGTTATTGCAAGTATTACACACAATAATAATAAAACAGAGCATTGACAAAAAAAGACACTTGCTTTTGGTACTTAAGTACTTTTAAAAGCAAGTACCTACTTAAGTAAAATTCTATCTTTACAACTTTCACTTGTAATGGAGTAATATTTTACTTCGTCCACCTCTGGTTTCTGTGCGTGACGATGACGAATACGAAAAAAACGCATACGAAAATTTCAGACTCAGTGTGCAAAGACCTTTAGAGTTAATATTTTATTTTAAAATTTCAGTTAAAAGTTTTAGAGATTTTGTTGTGCATTTTTATCATTTTTTTGTTTTCGTTAAGCTTTAGTTGTTACTATAGCACTTTAACTAAACGAAATGAGAAATGTTGAAATAGCTTAAATAATTTTGTTACGTTTTTAGTTAAAATTTGTTGTGCGTTTTAGTCATTTTTTTTTTTTTTTAAATATATCTATATAGTTTTCGTTTAGCTTTAGTTGTTATTATAGCACTTTAACTAAACGAAATGAGAAATGTTGAAATAGCTTAATTAATTTTGTTACATTTTTAGTTAAAATTTGCACTTCAAAGTTTGAAAATACAACTTTCAACAGATCTCCATTACTTTTTTTTAAAGTGTAACTAAATAACGGGGAAAACTTCATTTTGTTCAATTTCAAGGAAAACGACTTTTGCATCCCCAGTAAATGTATCTTGATTTAAGGATGTTTAGATATCTGTACTGGAAAACAACACAGAAACACTGAAGAAAATATATATTTTTTTTTTTTGCAATGCATGCAACATTTATACCCATGAATTTAAGACTTTCTGCTCTGATTTACAGCTTTTTAGGCCTTAATTAATGAAACAGTAAATAAGAGCCACAGAAACCCGACACAGAACTGATTCTTTCATTGATTTCTGACACATTTCTGAGGAAACCCATGACGCACGAGGGCTCCGGGTTCATCTGACATCAGCGAGGTTTAGTTCACATCACAGATGCATGATGGGAGTGCAGAACGTCACATACTCATGTACGAGTGTAAAAAGGCTTGTGCTGTCCAGAATAAAACTAGTTCCAGTTGAAGTCATATTGATGTGTCACTATAACGGCGTCCAAGATTAACGTTAACACACCGGCGGAGTAAAACGGGCTTTTGCTTTATGATGTTGCAAAGATAACACAGAACACGGTTTAAGAATATTCATCTCCTGTAAGTGTTCTGAAATCTTTGATCTTGTTTCAGCCGCGTTTGAAAGATGCGAGTTAATCGGTCACTTCAAACTAAACTAAAACTTCATTCTTCACTAAACAAACGTTTCCACACAAAAACATGCTGCTAAAATCTACAGGAACCTTGGAAACCAGAAAACAAACAATAGAAAGGTCAAAAGAGGCTCGTTCACAACGAGAATCATAACTACAACAATATTCGGGCTTAACAGACAATTAATCTTCAGGAATATTATAGATTAAACAGCACTGACAATATCAGAGGAGAACGGAATTGATCTGAATATTGTATTCTCTAGAGCTGCTTTTGGATTAGTTTCATAACTGATGAATTTTGCATCATTAACGGTTATTTTCCAGTTTGTATTTCTACTTTGAATCAGTCTGTACTGTATAGAGTGCTAAATGTGACTTGACTTTAAAGCAGGCTGGAAAAAAACACATTGAGATTCCTATCGTTCTGCTGTGTCGATATAGTTATGATTGTAGTGTGATTATTAAAATGAATTATCGTTAGAGTTATCGTTCCTGCTGTAAACAGGCCTTTAAAATAGTGTTAGTGATAGAGAGAAACTCAACTCATGCTCATTATAACATCTAGTCTTCATCTCTAGATTAAAGTCTTAACTGCCTACTAATTGTAATAGCTACTCTACTGTCATTTAATTATTATTTTTTTGTTACTCTGATGATGTTTACCGCATGAACATCTTTTGCTTGATTTTCTTCACTTTGCCAATATAAATGTTGTTGTCATGCTGATACAAAAGCCTGTCAGTTTGAGTTCGGGTGATTCTTCGTCTTCTTCTTCTCTTTCTCCTCTTCATCATCGCTTAAGAAGAGCAACGGAAACATTCCCAGAATGCATCCGATGGCGACGCCGATGGCTTTACCCTGAACACACACAAACACACACAAAGAGTGGAGATTAAGAAGCTGCTGAAGACTCTATGAACAAACCGGAAACACTCACACACACACACTCTCACACATGCACACACACTCTCACACACTCACACACACACACTCTCACTCACACATGCATGCACACACACACACACACACACACACAAAGAGTGGAGATTAAGAAGCTGCTGAAGACTGAACAAACCGGAAACACTCACACTCTCACACATGCACACACACTCTCACACACACACTCTCACTCACACATATACACACACACACACTCACACAAAAAGTGGAGATTAAGAAGCTGCTGAAGACTCTATGAACAAACCGGAAACACACACACACTCACACATGCACACACACTCACTCACACATGCACGCACACACATACACGCACACACACATACACACACTCTCATACACACACACACACACACATACACAAACACACAAAGAGTGGAGATTAAGAAGCCGCTGAAGACTATGAACAAACCGGAAACACTTACACACTCTCACACATGCACACACACTCTCACACTCACACACTCTCTCACACACACACTCTCTCACACAAAGAGAGGAGATTAAGAAGCTGCTGAAGACTATGAACAACCTGGAAACACAGACACACACACACACTTGCACGTACACACAAGCAAACTCATGCACACTTGCCTCGCACATACAGGTGCACACACGCAAACTCACACTTACATACTTGCACACACACTTTCAAGCACACACTGCAAACTCGCATGCACACTCTCAAGCACATGCATGCATGCACACTCGCATACACACACAAATTCACAAGCAAACTCATGCACACTTGCACGCACACACTTGCATGCATATGCGTACATGCAAACTCACAAGCAAATGCTGACTCACACGCAGTCACACACATGCAAGCACACACACGTGCAAACTCACGAGCAAGCTCATCACACACTTGTACAAGCAAACTCAATGCTGACACACACACACTCACTGACTCACACAACCTCAGCACACACTCGCATGCATACACTCAGACGCAAACTTGTACACTTTCACGCACACACTCACAAAAGCAAACTCATGCGCACACTCATACATGCACACACACGACTTGCATGCAAACTCACACTCACATCCACACAAGCAAATGCTGACTCACAAACTCACAAACAACACAAGCACACAAGCACACAGGAGTGTCTCACCATGTGTGAAGTGACTCTGGTCTGCCACATATCCACTTGTTTCGGTGCGAGATCAGGAATCTGCATCCCTAAGCGCGCAGCCAGAGCCTCCACGTAACCTGCTAAACTACACACAGCATTACTAATACACACAACTAGTTCATCCACACACACTGTTAGTGAAGCTGCTTACCCGAGTCCAGCCAGATCAGACACCAGGTTCCCCAGAGCTGCGGCTGAAACACAGTCAAAGACCATCAATGAAGCTTCTGTGTGACAAACCACAGGACGAATCTCACCAGAACCAGATCTCGTCGCAAGAAATTTAATTTAAATAAAGCATAAATTAAATTCAATACAACAGATAATGCATAAATTCTTTAGAATTTATGTTATTTCTTTGCATTAGATCAGGATCTCACAAACTGGTATGAGTTCAATTCAATTCAATTATAATAAAATACAATTAAAATAAAACACTTACTAAAAAGATTATATATTGCATTTGAAATAAATGAAAATGCATAACTTTAAAAACAATCCAAAATAATTACTAAAATTATATGAACCATTTCATTTGGAATAAATAGAAATAAAATAAATAAATAAATGCTAAATAAAGATATGTTACATGAAATAAAATAGCTAAAAAAAAACTGATATTTTATCTGAAAAAAATAATATAAATAATTTTAAAATAAAATTAAAATTAAACAAAAAACTGTATATAATTTATTTGTTTAGCTGCATGTCATGTGACCAATAATTGTCATCGGAGAATCATGAACATGCAATTGTGTTGTTAAATGATTGAAATATTAACTTAAAATCTCAGGAGCTTTCAAGTAAATATTTTAGCTCAAACAGTTTTGACACGTTCTAAACAGGTTTCATGAGATTCACCCACATAGTAATAGTCACTGCTGACAAGAGAGACAATACCAGAATAAAACACAAAACCTGTTCTG